CGCCCGCCGCCGCTACAACTTCCCTGCCTTTGCAAGGATTGTGGGAAGAGGAGCCGCAGCAGGAGCGCTCCTTCCTTTCGCTCCGCCCACCATTACCTCATGCTCGGCCCTCCGCCCCTAAACCCTCCCCCTCTGCTCAGCATCACGAGCGCCCTCTGCTGACTCAGATAAAGCCAACAGCAAGTGAGGGCGGGACTGGACCAACACATCCCGAGGCGGGGGTGCCCGATCGATTGGCACCCTGCGGGGTGAGACGTGGAGAAGGCGAGGCAAGCGCAGGGCACGATCGCTGGCCAAAGGCCCGCTTCTGTATGGGATCAGACCGGCCATTGCTTTTCACGCGTGCTGCTTGATGTAGCGCAGCCTTCTTCTACCAGCGCTGGCAGAAGCGACAAATTGGGCGCTGATGGTGGGGCATTGGAGATAAGACATTGGCTATGAGAGTCGCCCCATCACAACTGGGGCCAAATTTGGTGGCGGGGATCAATTATTTCTAGCGCTCGCCATGGCCTTATGAAAGGCATAAGTGTTTGGAGGTTTTTTTAACGCAGTAGTGCAGTTCTGCATTTTTGTTCACCATTGTGCTGCTTCGAAAAATGCAGTTTATACAAACTTTTTGTAAACTGGTACTGCTTTGGCCCTGCATCCATCAAAGATGCTAATAGTTCCAGCAGACTTATTGTTTGTTTGTTTGTTTGTTTGTTTGTTTATTTATTTATCAAACCTAAATGAGATAACAGGTATAGATATAAACATGGACATGAACACAGGAAATGAATACAAATAAATGGAGACAGTAGGACAGGGACGACATGGTGGTGTGCTTATGCACACCCCCTTTACGGACCTCTTAGGAATGGGGTGAGGTCCACAGTAGACAGTTTAAGGTTGAAACTGAGGATTTGTGGATGTAACAACAGAGTCAGGTAGAGCATTCCAGGCATTGACCACACTATTATTGAAGTCGTATTTTCTGCAATCGAGTTTGTATCCGTTTACCTTGAGTTTGTATCTATTGTTTGCCCATGTATTGTGGATGAATGTGAAGCAGTTGTTGAGCCGAGGTGGCGCAGTGGTTAAATGCAGCACTGCAGTTCATCAGTTTGGCTGTTCAAATCCCACCAGGCTCAAGGTAAACG